CAAGATATGATTTGCGGCAAATTAAGAAAGATATGATTTGCTGCAAATTTAGAAAGATTTGATTTGATTAATTACAGATTTGAATAAATTTAGGAAAGATTAGATTTGAATAAAATTAGGAAAGTCATATCCTAGGATCAAGGGAAAGATTTAATCAATCCCTAATTGAGGAGTTTGTCTCTCCTATTTATTTAAGTTATATGCTCAACATGTTTCATCAACACATTATCAATACAGAAGTATTTCTTTTCTCTCCCTCTTCATTTGTTCTTCTCTTCCTCTTATTTTTCCACAATATTTCCAATGACATTTTTCTGTTTTTTTTTTCCTTTTACTTACATGTTTTACTTTTACTTTGTTCTTTATCCAAATGCATGATTTATTTTTCTTTTTATAATTTTTTGGTTCAATAAAAATAGTGTATTTTAAAAAGTTGAAGTACTTGCAAGCGAGATGTGTAACTAATGCTTTTCTTATTTAGAATGACTAATTTTTCCTTATTTTCCCTTATAATAGAAAAATGGAATGATTGGAATCTCATGCTACTCCTGAAAAACAAGCACCATTAGATTCTGAATCCAGAGAAAGATACCTACAAATATAATTGCAAAGAAAGAATACATACGTATACAGTTGTACATTCTGCCAGTATAGGCTATCGTTGTTCTTCTTCATCAAAAATTCTGTATAAACACCTGCTAATGCTGAAAGACAAGCAGAGAGAACTCCCAACATGTACCCCTGGATTGGTGCTGAGAAAAGTGAGTCACATGAAGCCTCTCCACAACCTTTAACCTGCATCAATGAGAAAGAGAAGAGGTGTTACAACTATAATGAAAATGGCCAAGTAAATGGCACGTATGACAAGAAGTCATTCATTACTAAGAACTTCCTTCTGAAAACAGCAAGATATTTAAAGCAGAAAACAGTTCTTCCTTTTACTAGTTTGCATCTAATGATCTTTCCTCTGATGAGGCAAATCTGCAGAGGCTTAGTCAAAGTATCTTAGCCACTTAAGTCATCATATTTAAATCTGAATACAACATTAAGTAACCTAGAAAAGGAAAGAAAAAATTCTGAATGCCCACAATCATCTATAGGACCCAAATTTTAGCCTAGAAGATTTCCTTTACATCAACACCTAATAGTCCAATGCATAGCACAAACTAAAAGAATCTGCTCAAAATTTCCTAAGCCAGATGACTAGGGATGGCAACAGGACAGGTTCAGGGAGGGTTTTGTAAATTCTAGACACTCCTGCCTCCCCAAACCTCCCAACCCATACCCTCCCCAAAACTCGCAGTGGGCTGGATTTTCAGAATCTAAACCCTCCCCCCACACATGAAAATGCAAAACCCTCCCCAACCCTACACCCCCACATTTGAGGGTAGGTGTAGATCAGGTCCAAAACCTGCATCTAATTGCATATTATATATAAGCAATAAACAAGAAAAATAACATGAACAAACATTAAAATTTCCAATTATTTGATTGAAACATGTAGAAAAAACAAATTATAAATTATCTTTCACATGAGATTCAAAATGCTATTAAATTCACACGTAATAAATAATCACATGCCTTACAACAATAAAATCTAATATTATAAGTGCTAAGGGTGTTTTAGTAAATTCAATACATGGGTCAGGGAAGGTTGTGTTTAGCCTAATACCATATCTGTACAGGTTGTAAAATCCCAAAACCCGTCCCTCTCCAAAATCCATTTTTCAAACAAAAAACCTGCCTCGACAGGGTGGGTACCCACCGGGTAGGGTGGAAATTGCCATCCCTTAGCAGGCTTAAATCTGGAAGGCGGTGTGATGCAAAGTTATGTGGATATCCTGGGTTGCGCAACTTCTCATTGACCTTTCAAATACTTGGGGTCCCTCTTGGGGACAATCCTAGATACTTGAATTTTTGGAACCCAGTGGTAGATAAGTTCACTAAAAAGCTGGAAGGTGGAAAAAGAATTATATCTCTTGGGGGAAGAATCACTATAATTAAATCTTCCTTATCCAATCTACCCATATATCACCTCCCTATTTTTAGGATTCCTTCCTCAGTGGCTAAAAGGTCAGAGAAGATCATGAGGGATTTCTTGTGGGAACTGGGAGAATCAAAAAGAGATCATTTGATTAGCTAGAAAGTTTGTATGTAGGAGTGGGAGGGAGGGGGACTAGATCAAGGGAATTTGTAGTTAAGAGTTCTTCTTTGCTTGGAAAATGGTTGTAGAGCTTCCAAGTTGAAGAGGACAAGTCATGGCATATGGTCATCAAAAGCACTCATGGTGTCAACTCCAATGGATGGGATGCAGGTCTGAATTCCAGGGAAACTTTAGCCTCTCCCTGGAAAACCATCATTGTTTTACTCCCTTCCTTTTCAGCTTTCATCAGATATGGTATTGTCTCAAGAAATAAAGTCAAATTTTAGTCAGATCTGTGGTTGGGGAATAGTACTCTTAAAAATAGATTTCCAGGGTTGTTCTTGCTATCCCACTTCAAAGACTCGTTTATTTAAGACTGTGTTTCTATCTTAGTCAGGGTTGGACTGGCCTAAGAAGGGGTCTTAGGGATCACGAGGCTCTGGATGTTTTATTTCTTTTAAATTTATTGGTTAGTGTGTTTTTTTATCCAAGTCTGACTCTAGGATTTGGATTCTTAATTTCTATGGACAGTTTTCTTGTGCCTCATTTTTCAGTGGACTCTTTGCAAACCCTCTTTTCAATTTATCTTGTCCCTCTATTGCAAACTGGGGTTGGTCAATGCGACCAAAGGTAAAGGCTTTCTGTTGGGAGGTTTATCATAATAAGATTTATTCCTGTGAAACTTTACAAAGGAGGCCAAGCTGGTCCCTCTCTCCTCACATTGTCTCTTCTGCAAAGTTAACAGTGAAAACTCTTTCCACTTACTAATCTCCTGTATTTTGCATCTGCTATTTGGGATTTCTTTTTTTCATGCTTTGGTTGCAGGTGGCACCCCCAACGGAGCTAAAGTCATTGTTTGATACTGATTTTTTCTCTCCGCCCAGTAAAAAGGGTAAAATTCTGTGGAGATGCACAGAGCAGCAATTCTGTGGTGCATTTTGCGGGAAAGGAACTCAAGGCTCTTCCAAGACAAGGAAAGAAGGGTTAAAGAGCTGATAACAGCACTATCAAGGTGGTACATTGTATTGAAATGTTGGACCTGTTCTCTCCTTTTTCGATTCATGATATTAGTAGAAACTGGAATTTAGTGGCTGTCCCTTCCAACAGAAGGGATCAAACTGTTGCCATTTGGAAACCTCCTCCTATGCTTTTCGTCAAATTGAACTTTGATGGTTGCAGCCTAGGAAACCCTCACTTGTCAGGTGTTGTGGGCGTGTTAAGCAGTTATGGCAATGTATTACATTGTTCTCAGGTCCAGTTGGTGTAGGAGATTCCACAAGAGCAGAGTTATTGGAAGCTTTAACAGGGCTTAAGAGGATAAGAGACCTGAGATATACTAATGTCATCATTGAAGGAGACTCTAAGGTAGTAATCAGGTGGCTAGAGACCAATCAGGTAGAGTCGTGGGTTTACAGGCATATTTTCAGGGAAGTTACAGCCCTGATGAGACAGCTAAATATATGATTCAGTTGGGTTCCTCGGGCAGCAAACAGTATAGCAGATGGATTGGCAAACAAGGGGCTATATGGGACAATTTGCTCTGGGGGTTACTAATCTAAACAGGATTTATCGGTTTGTAATGTTTGCCGTTTTTCCCATTATGGATAGCCAAGGCTATCCACCCTCTGTTTTTTCCATTATGGATAGCCAAGGCTATCCCCCTCGACATGAAACATAGTGAAGTTTTGTTGAAACTTTAGAACTTCTCTATTTATCAATTTCACATACAACACGTATGCTTAAATGATGGCAATTCATATTTATGAACATGTTTGAAAGTTTAATGCTATAGTTCCAATCCAAATAAAATAATACCTATCTCATGATTGGGTTGGGTTAGGGTTGAGGTTTTAACACATCAACCCACTCAAAGAGTGGAGCATTTGCCTAAAGCCTTTTCCCTCTTTTTCATTTCTTTTTTTTTTTTTTTGAGAAATGTAAAGTAAATCCATAAAGAGGGGCCAAAAATTGAAAACCAAAAAACTCTTCAGCAAAACAAGTGCAAAAGAATCTGAGACATTTACTAATACTCCAACAAATCTAAGGACAACCTTAGAAACCCTAATTTTATTCTATGGTCATTATAAAAAACCTTTCATTCGATCGGGTCTCGTGTCCCTTCAAAGACTTCTTTCATGCTTATGAGCCCTACAGATTTCTCAAGAATTCCGCAAAATTATCGAAGGAAATTTTCTAAATCTATCTTTTGGTTCAGTGTTTTAGTTAAATTGATGTTTAGAATCTGCTAGGCCAATGTATTTCCTCGATTTTAATCCAATTGAACAAATCAATGTTACTGGTGTTATTTGATTGGATCGATCTATGGGTTTTGGTGATAATAACAGGAATCCTTATTTCAGTGCAAAGCTAATGTAAATTAAGTTTTCCTGCAACAATAACCTGAGATGTTCTGACTCTTGAATTATTTTTCAGTTAGATCAATTGTACACCTAGAACTGAACGAGAACCGGCAGATTTCCCTCTTCTCTCTTAAAGAACATGACCACTGGTTAGCACCATACACTGATACACTAGAGCATTAGATTTAAAYCATCTTACCTTAAACATGATAATTCAAACTATTCAATTACAGTTATTATCCTGGTTATAGTAAGAAGCACAAATGACAGCTTGATTTGAACAAGGCAAATTTGAAGTTATGCAGTGAAGTAGCCTTGTCACCTAGTCGCCTAGGCGGGCACCTAGGTGATGGATTTTTTTTATGTAGAAAACATAGATCCTAGGGTAGTTCCCTAGGTACCATAACCATATTTCCTTAATAAGTATTCATAATTTTCATAAGAAAAGTATAGAAAATCAACATGTTCACGATAAGAAAAAAAAGAACGAAAAGAAAATTTAAAAAGTATAAGGGCTGAACTCTTACTTTCGTTATAGGAAAAGAAGAAAATTTTAAGTTCTTCCTTACTTATTGGTTCAGGTTTTAAAGTCTGAGGGTTCAATACAGCATTTAGCAATGTTTGTATTGATTAGGTCCTAACAAATAAGAAAATAATAAACAAATTAGTATATAAACACACAAAATGAATATTATAGTTTAATAGTGCCTATTTTATAATTATAATGTCAAAAAATAAAGTATAAAAAAGTGTTTTCCAAATAATGGATGTGGAATTTCTTTCCAAGAAGACTTGCTTGTCTATTCAGACCACCTAAATACGATCCCTCCCCAGCTTCCCCAACAGACCTAGTGAAGAAATGACTTGCATTCAGAGCATTAAGAAAGAAAGCCCAGATCTTTAAGCTTAAAAGATAGTGGACAAGGAAATGGTCGGCAGACTCCAAGTTGCAGTCACAGAAACAGCAGCATGAGGAAGGGATAAACACACCCTGTTTAATAGATTCTCCTTGGAAAGATACTTGTTCAGATACGCAGTATATAGCATGAAGAAAATTTTTCATAGGGCCATTGGATTCCACACCATTTTGCAAGGGAATAAATTACTCCTTCAGTTAATCAGCCTCCTAGAACGATGCCATCTTTCTCCCACTTCTAAATTCTATGATCACACTCACCAAGTTGCAGGCTATGCCTTTGGAGTAACTTCAGAAGTTTTGTCACCTCCTCAAGCTCCAAATCATAAAGATTTCTTTGAAAGGTAGACACCCAAAATATCTTGTTTCTCCACTTCATAGGAACTCACCACTTCTATCTCCTTGCCTTCAGCAATTGTAAATAAACTTGGAAAAATGGATTCTAAAGGCTTCTGATCACATCACTTATCCAGCCAAAAGTGAGTTCTAGAATCATCACCCACCTTATAAGAAATACCAGAAATAAAGGCATCAAATGATTTTTTAAACCTCTTCCGGATTGAACAGATATAGGAAAAATTAGCCAGACCAGGGCCCTACCACCTAATGCAGGCCATACTTTGCTGCCACTTGATGCCTCCACCAATTCCCAGCTTCAGTGCTAAAATATTAAAAGTACTTACTAAAAAGAGCCTACTTTTACTTAGGGGTATAAACAATATCTGAAAATCCAAGTTCAAATTCAAGATTTGATAAGTTTAATTGAATTCAAATAGGACCTGATTCACTTTGATAAACATCTTTTTTTTTATATCTTCTGAAGGGCTACACAACGGGGAGTAGCCCATCCCCCAACCCAGGTGCAGGCAGGATTCAATCCCAAGTCTCCACTACGACCAGCAGGAGACCTTACCAACCAGCTGGTTGGCACCCTGCCACTTCGACATCTAAACATAATATATAATATATATAATATATAAATTTTATAAATAATGTATATATTTATGCATTTTATATAAATAATATATATTAATTTCCTAAAAGAATTAAACAATCGAAATTGAATTGAATTGAATACCCAATTATTTAATTGAATTTAAATCCTGCTTGATTCGATTCAAATTCACGCCGTTTACACCCCTACTCTTCCTCCTTCCATCCTTGCCACAAGAAATCACACTGGATTTTCTCAAAAAAAAATATATATCACACTGGATTTTCTCAAGATATGAGGCAACCTTGGATGAAACAGGAAAATCCATGTCATATCAATTTCAGAGCACAGATTCAACATTTTCAAGCTCAGTTCATCAATTTGAGCCTAAGAGAAAACACATAATTGGGGCACTAAGCTCTAATTCCAAGAACCTAGCTTCTCTCTATATGGTTGTCTGCTCTGGCCTCATACAAATGGCTTTCAATTGATTTTATTAATAACTTGCAACAGCCAAATCCAATCCAATTAGTGAATTTGATTCAGGATATCCTAATTATATACTTAAGTTGAACAGAATTAGGTACATTGAATCTGAATCTGACCCACAAGCAATGATAGGATTCTCTTTGGGAAAGAAACTCATATATGTGGAGCTGTGAATTGACCCAGCTGGGAGTGGACTTTATGCATAGACCATCACATGGGCCTTCAAACTTAAGATTGGGACAAGCCAGTAGCCTTTGAGCTCCAGTTTGTCAGCAAATTGATACAGACAAATCTTACTGCATTTTTTGATTAGTATCTTACTGAATTAACATGATATTATGCCATTGGGTTGATTGTCTAAGGACTTCTAGGAATGCTATCAAATGATGCATTTCAATTGACACATGACTAGGGAGGGTTGCTTCTTCCCATCCTTTCATTCAACTCAAACATTTTGCTAATAAACTAGCAGGAAAATCATAACAGTAGAAGGATCAGACCCACAAAACATGAAATAGTACACTATAACTTGACTTCCATTATAAACAGAAAGTTCCTCACTAATACCTGGCTTGTAGTTGTGCCAACAGCTAATAGAACAATTGCCATCCACTGTAGAGTAGATAGCTTCCTCCTCAAGAACAGCCTAAAAGATCAAATAAAATCATCTGCTGGTTGGCAAATATCAAGTCCAAATAGAAAGCATGGACATGAAAAATACTTGGATCAATCAGGTGTGAAGAGTCGAGGAATAAATATAAGAAGACATATCTACGCAAGTATCAAGGAAGCACCTGAATAATATCCCAGTTGTGACAATCTTCAGATTACCCATTATCTGGTATGTAGATGTATCCACATAAGTTAGGGTAGCAAATTGGACATTGTTGTGTATTAGGTATATAATGGAAGGAATGGGGAACAAGCGCATGCTTTTCCATTCTGTAGTCATTCTTGGAGGAGGTGATGACTGACACTCTCTCCAAAGGAGAAAACTAGATACCAGAAGCTGTAGTTTAAAAGTAAATGGTATGCGTCAGATGAATAATGAAAAGCAATGACTAATAGAAGAACCTAAGTGGTTTAAAGCGGAAATTTTACTTTCGTTTTTTCTTAAATGAACAAATCTTTTACTTATTAACCTTATCATTCATTTCAATTGATCTCTGAAAAAGCGAAAACAAGCCATGTAAAAGAGATATTGTAATTTTGTCCACATAATAGAAAAGGATCACAAAATTTAGAAATACCTTAAAAACTTCAGCAAGAAAAGGAACTGTCGCATAATCATACTTATATCCCCCATTGCTTTGTGAAAGTGTTGTCAGAATTCCCTGCCACATAAACAAAGGTTATATACCAATAGTTGGCATGTCATTGGTAAAGAAGAAAAATCTAAAATCATCATCATCATCCATGCCTTATCCCAACTATATGGGGTCAACTACATGAATCCTATTTCGCCAATCCATTCTATTTAAACCCATACCACACCACTGTTAAATGATTAATGCTTAAATCATTTCTTACTATTTCTACCCATGTCCTTTTTGGTCTACCCCGATCTCTTCTAGCCCCTTCAATGTGTAATAAACCACTTCTTCTAACTGGCACAGATGGAGAAGGAAAATCCAAAACCCACCACCTAAATTTTCCATCATTAGCACCAAGAGGTACTTGACAAATTACAGGGGTAAAAAATCCTACAGAATTCTGGTCAATGACACTCAAGGCCAATGGTGGAAGATTACTTTCTGGCATTCCAACTCATTTCCAAGTTAGTAGTAGATGGGGAGCCCCTAGCCATAGTTGTCAAGGTGACGCCTAGGTGACAAGGCACCCTTTGAGGCTTGCATCGCCTAATCGCCAAACAGTTTGTACTATGTATTATAAAATATTTGTTTACTCTTTATTTTTTGACATTATAATTATAAAATAGGCACTATTAAACTAAAATATTCATTTTGTGCTTATATACTAATTTCTTTTTATTATTTTATTATTTGTTAGGGTTTAATCAATATAAACATTGCTAAATGCTGTATTGAACCCCCAAAGACTTTAAAAACCTGACTCAATAAGTAAGGAAGAACTTAAAATTTTGTCAAATCAACACATTTTCTTTTCTTCTTTTCCGATAACAAAAATAAGGGTTCGGCCCTTATATTTTTTGAATTTTCTCTTCCTTCTTTTTCTTCTCATGAATATGTTGATTTTCTATACTTAACATGAACTCTATACTTTTCTTATGAAAATTATGAATAATTATTAAGGAAATATGGTTATGATACCTAGGGAACTACCCTAGGATCTATGTTTTCTACATAAAAAAATCCACCGCCTAGGCGACTAGGCGACAAGGCGCCCCCCTATCGCTTAGCCTCGCCTTGGCGCCTTGAAAACTATGCCCCTAGCTGCCTCCTACTTCACTGTATAACTTCAAATTTGCCTTGGTAAAAAGGAAACCTACCACAACATAATGGTAACCTTTCCATCTGGTATTTCCTTTTCGGGAACCACTTTTACAAATCAAGTTGTCATTTGTGCTTCTTACTAAACCAGGATAATAACTGTAATTGAATAGTTTGTATTATCATGTTTAAGGTAAGATGATTTAAATCTAATGCTCTAGTTTATCAGTGTATGGTGCTAACCAGTGGTCATGTTCTTTAAGAGAGAAGAGGGAAATCCGCCGGTGTCTCGTTCAGTTCTAGGTGCCAAAGACTTTAAAAACCTGACTCAATAAGTAAGGAAGAACTTAAAATTTTGTCAAATCAACACATTTTCTTTTCTTCTTTTCCGATAACAAAAATAAGGGTTCGGCCCTTATATTTTTTGAATTTTCTCTTCCTTCTTTTTCTTCTCATGAATATGTTGATTTTCTATACTTAACATGAACTCTATACTTTTCTTATGAAAATTATGAATAATTATTAAGGAAATATGGTTATGATACCTAGGGAACTACCCTAGGATCTATGTTTTCTACATAAAAAAATCCACCGCCTAGGCGACTAGGCGACAAGGCGCCCCCCTATCGCTTAGCCTCGCCTTGGCGCCTTGAAAACTATGCCCCTAGCTGCCTCCTACTTCACTGTATAACTTCAAATTTGCCTTGGTAAAAAGGAAACCTACCACAACATAATGGTAACCTTTCCATCTGGTATTTCCTTTTCGGGAACCACTTTTACAAATCAAGTTGTCATTTGTGCTTCTTACTAAACCAGGATAATAACTGTAATTGAATAGTTTGTATTATCATGTTTAAGGTAAGATGATTTAAATCTAATGCTCTAGTTTATCAGTGTATGGTGCTAACCAGTGGTCATGTTCTTTAAGAGAGAAGAGGGAAATCCGCCGGTGTCTCGTTCAGTTCTAGGTGTACAATTGATCTAACTGAAAAATAATTCAAGAGTCAGAACGTCTCAGGTTATTGTTGCAGGAAAACTTAATTTACATTAGCTTTGCACCATAAGGATTCGTGTTACTATCACCAAAACCCATAGATAGACCGATCCAATCGAATAACACCAGTAACATTGATTTGTTCAATTGGATTAAAATCGAGGAAATACATTGGCCTAGCAGATTCTAAACATCAATTTAACTAAAACACTGAACCAAAAGATAGATTTAGAAAATTTCTTTCGATAATTTCGCAGAATTCTTGAGAAATCTGTAGGGCTCATAAGCATGAAAGAAGTCTTTGAAGGGACGCGAGACCCGATTGAATGAAAGGTTTTCTATAATGACCAAAGAATAAAATTAGGGTTTCTAACGTTTCTGACCTGAGAACTGGTGAGAATAGTAAGAAGCGCGGCAACGAAGTACCATTGCATCCTTGTTCACTTGACACAGTGAGATGATACATGAAACCTTCATTTCATCTATAAGTCACAATTGAGATCAGATTGGCGCCCCACATGCACAGCTCAGCGTGCATTGGGAACATCTCCCGTACTTGCCTTGGGGAGATGTTCCCAATACACGGCTGAGATAGGCTTTGGGACGCGTGTGGGGCGCTGATGCGAATTCGTCACAATTGGTCGCCACTCACAAGGGACTTCTTATATGAGGGGACAGGAATTACCGTTGGATCGGTCGCTGCTCCTTGCAACTTGCAATTCTGCCAAGCTGGACGGGAGATACAACAAGTCAGCAACTAGTCAGCTCCATCTGGACTGGAGCAATATATATAAAACGTCGTTGAACCGGCCGGTCAAACCAATTTATCCAATACTCGACCATGATTTTAGGTCCATTTAACCCAAACCTGATAGGCTTCCAAATGGTAATATTCAATTTTAGCGCCCACCCCCCCAAAAAAATGATAATACACAAAAAACCTTTGATTTTAATAAAAAAAAAAAGATTGTTGATCCATACAATTAAAAGAGCCCTTTAAAAACATATATATCCTATAAAGCAAATGTATGTCATAAAAGTTAAATTTGATTATATAATATTAATTTACATATTTACTTTTTATTTGTACATGGCATATCACGTGCTTTTACACTAATATTAACTAGAGGTGTAAGGCAGGCACGGCCTACTTTTGTGGGTTGTACGTATTGTAGTAGGTCATGCCATTTAGACACATGTACAATATCCTATATTTATCATATTAAACAAAAAGTAAATATAACACATCAAAATTATTTTTGTACATATAAATACAAAAAAAAATATAGAAAATTTTGAATATATTTATAATTCTATATTTACACTTCTATTGAAAACATGAATAAGATTGTAGAATTTTCTTTTGACTAAAATACTCAATTTTGAATTTAGTTCCCATTTAATTGTGAGGTTTAAATTGTAAATTAAACTACTGCTTTTCATCTCATTTAATTCCCTATATTTAAATCTTACATTTTTTTAAATAAAAAAAAAGATATACCAAAAAGATAAAACATTACAAAAAACAAGAGTTTAACCAAGTAGATAGGGTTGTAAATGATACTTGAAATTTCACAACTCAATCCAATTATCACATATTTGGATGATATATTTATGTAATCTCATTTGGATTTTGCAATCTGTGTTCGATTGATAATAAAAAAATAAAAATATATAAAAACAAAAAATAAAATATACATAAGATTTATAAAAAAATGAATGTGTTATTACTATCATTATCATCATATAGAATTGCCATGTGCTTGTGCACACTTACTAGTAATTAATAAAAGATTGGTCTCTAAATAAATGGCAATTTGCCAAACTTCTCATCTATAAGAAGTACCTAGCATTAATCCAACATCTAGACAACTAAGGCACATCTTCCCATGCATGGAAATTAGTCAACAATTAATGAGAAAAATAGTGGATTAAAATCAATTTATCCATGAAAGATAATAAGAATCAATCAAATTAAAACTAAAAAAATCGTAAATCAAGTGAAGAGGAAGATTAAATCAAGAAAATCTATAAATAGGATTTCCATCAAGAGGGAGGGGACCTTTGATTAGAAATTTAGTGAAATAATAAAGCTTTTAGAGAGATGAAGTACATTCACCATCTTTTTAGAAATGTTTACTATACTCTTGGAGTTTATGTAAAATCCTTCTTTTTTTATCAAACTAATAGAATGGCCTATGCAATGCACAAGGTATTGAACATTTGAAATGTTAAAGGTTGACCAACAAAACCTATAGATAAGCGCATGTTTGCAATGATTAAGGAGATTAAACATTGAGATTTTTTTGGCAAACTAAACATGGAGGTATGAAGTTTTAAATCATAAAAGTTGTAGAAAAGTTGCATGCATGTGAGGTGAAATGTATTTTCTAATACAAAAAAAAATAAAAATTTAAAAATTAAATAGAATTAAAATCAAGCTTTAATGTCCTTTCTAATCCAAATTAAAATGTCTGTGCAACATTGAAAGAATGACAATGATGGTAATGTTTGACTATAGTTCAAGTCTTCAAAAAATTATGCAATACAATGCAAAAAAAAAAAAAAAAAACTAAGATTTGATTTTCATAACTTGAATATAATGGCACATGCAAATGCATTAGATTGGAACAATAATGTACCAAATCAATGATATGAACAACATTACCTATAGAGATGAATCACCCCAATGAAACAAAGAATTGATGGAGAGGGCACTCGTAACCAATCAACCACTCTTTTAGTAACATCTTCGATGACATAATGACTTAAACCATTAAAGCATTGGCTCTGATGCTATCTAAACTTACGACAACCATGTTATTCTGAGAAGCAATGAAATTGTAAAATCAAAACACAATAAATTAGACTATAAAATAAGAAACAAATATACAAGATTACACCGTTCAATTGAAAAGCCTACACTGACAACATTAACATGGAATCATGCAAACCAAAAAGTGGGTGTATAACTACTTCTTTCTCGTTGTCTCAAACCCCACAAAACCCAATTCTATAAAATAAAGAAAAGCTAAATAAATTAAAAGTTTATCTTGAATAAATTAACTAACGTGAAATTTAAGAGGTGAAGAGACAATAAATTTAACTTGTTCCAAACTGAATGTTTTTACCTTCATGAGCAGTCCCAGGTAGGTTAGTGTTGACAGATTTGCTAATGAACACATAGAGGAACAAAGATCTAAATCACATGCAAAATAAGAAAAATTATTATCCAATTAGCTTTGCTTAACTATAAAGAAATAAGAGGAAGAAGATGTCTATAAGACTTACAGAGAGGTAGCAACTAAAATAAAACAAAAAAACAAATCAAACCATAGCAACTAAAAGACAAAGTATAGTGTTAAGTCTTACCAATAGGAAATAGGAATAGTAGACAACTGAAGATATAACCCAAAATATACTTGAACCATAAGTAATATGTATAATTGTTAATTAGCTCCATATTTTAGTCACAAATAATTGGGTAGATATAATCCTTATTTTCATCTCACTTGTACAATTATACAGTATTGAGTATATTATTCATTGAAGATTCATAGTGATGTTTAACTAAATAGCTATACCATAAATTAGGTTAAGGCATGGATAAATTAAGAATAATAATGTTTGTCCCTTCAATTAATATAGAGGCTACTCAAATAAAGTTTGTTGGTATATTAAATTTTAAGAACATGAAACAATTTTTAATTGTTGCAAGAACTTGCAACTAAGTTTGATGAATTGCATAAGATAGGCAATGATGGTTATGTATTTTTCTCAAATATAATATTCACCTAACAAGTGTGCTGCCACCTTAGTCTAAAAAAGGGAAGAAAATGGAACTGAGGTATAAATTTTACCTAATAACATCGATAATTTTTATTCAAAAGATAATATCATAGCAATAAGCAATATTCACATTACAAGGGCGCCACTGATAAACATCACTAATATCCTCCCAAAGTAATTGCTTGACTTCCACAGGAGGATTGTTCCAAAAAATAGAATTATGATCCTCATAAGCTATACTAGCTAGATAGTCAGCACACCTATTAGCTTCTCGATAACAATGAGTTAAAAAAACATTTGGACATTGGCTTAACAGATTGATAGTGCTCTGGAATAGGATTTCATTCTTCCAATTTGGATATTTTGGAGATTGTAAGGCTGATATAGTGGACTTAGAATTTGACTCAATAATGAGGGGAAACCATCCTTTGTGCAAGGCAATTGAAACAACTATACTGCCCAAAGCTCAGTTGTTTTAATTCAAAATCGTAATAACTCCAATATTGATGCAAAATCCTCCATTTGATACTTCTCCAAATCCCTGAACAGTCTTACTGCAGTAGCCAATCATGTGCTTCTTTTGACTGAACCATAAGACTTGTGTTGGGAAAGGGTTCCATTTGATACTTCTCCAAATCTTGGAATCAATCGAAACAACTGGATTAGCGGCAAGGAAATATCTATATAATATATGGATAGCCAAATCGATTCAACAGTTGTATTTATTTGTTGGAAAATCTTTTCATTCCTAGATTTCCATATTATCCACAAAGTGTGACACGATAATGATAAGTTTCTTTTGTCTAGAATTTTTAACAAATGACTTACCCATTGTATGAAGTCCTGTTCAGCACTTGGATTAATATCCAAATATGTCCACAGACATCATAGTTTGTAAATAAATGCTTTAAATCCTCAAGTTCCTGATTACATATTTAACAAACAGGATTTTGATTGATATTTTTGTGATAAAGTTGAGCGGATGTTGAAAGTTTGCCTTGAATTAGCAACCACATAAAAAAATGTTCAATCCTATGAGAACAAGCTAGTTTCCAAATGTAACAGTTGATTTAACTGTTACATTTCCATCCTTAGTCGACCAGCCCCCAAACCCACTTGTCTTATTCTATGACACTTTCCTGATCTAGTTTCTTAAGAGGGATTGCTCTAATCATATGGACAATTCTAGTGGATATAGAAGAGATTCAACTTCAGTGAGATTTCATATTCCATTATCAATTCACTACATTATTGATTTATACGGCCCTATGGTTAGGAAATATTGAACAATTGACAAAAATTGTAAATTAAAATATAAAATTTTCTTAAATTCCCCCCCCCCAAAAAAAAAAAAGAAAAACACTACCTATCTCAAGTAAGATGCACCAAGGTTTAGTTGTGCCACAAGAGGGGGAAGCCACCCCCTCTCTAGAATTTAACGAAATATTAAAAGTGGATTTATCTTGAGAATTAATGATTAATCATGGGATTGAGGCGAACCTCTACTGTCATAACTGCTGGTTGGGGTTTGATTTCCATCTAGAGTATGGAGATGGTGATTTCAATGATGCCTGAATAGACAAATATAATTGTGGGTGTACCATCCATCATCAAGCGTTAATCCTCCACTTGGTAGTTGAATGAAATGAGGACCTGA